TACTTAGAATTTGTCTTTCTATCGATTCCTGGAATTATTTTTATTAAAATAATGTTCACCCCCGAGAAGGGGTGGTATCTACCCTCAGGGCAAAAGCGCAAGTTGGCACTATGTCACTTTTGTTTCTTATGGTATCCCCCACCTACTTACCAATTTTCATGAAAATCGATGGCGGTTCAACGAAATCGGAGGTTGCAGCTGCTTTTTGCCTTCATTGACTATACCATTATGAAAACGAAGATTAAACTACTTTCTTTGATACTGTTACATGTGTAACATTCCAATATAGCCCATGGTTGTATTGTTGTTGTACAATCGTCATTGTTTAAATTGATTTTTGATATATTTATTGTCTCTGGTAGGTACGATTGATTTTATTTTATAAATAAAAGTTTTTTTTTGTTTTACAGCTTCAAATTTTATTTTTTTCAAATAATACTTTGGAACAATGTTAGGAACAACTAGAACAACTTGGAACAACTAAAAAAATAATGAATTTCCAAACATGGGGGGCTATTTGAAAAACGGTTTTTTTTGTCTGACAGCTTCAAATTTGAGTTTTTTCAAATAATACTTTGGAACAATGTTAGGAACAACTAGAACAACTTGGAACAACTTTAAAAATAACGAATTTCCAAACATGGGGGGCTATCTCAAAAACGGTTTTTTTTGCCTGACAGCTTCAAATTTGAGTTTTTTCAAATAATACTTTGGAACAATGTTAGGAACAACTAGAACAACTTGGAACAACTAAAAAAGTATTGAATTTCAAAACATGGGGGGCTAAGATAAAAACGTTTTTTTTGTCTGGCAGCTTCAAATTTGAATATTTTCAAATAATACTTTGGAACACTGTTCGGAACAACTAGAACAACTTGGAACAACTAAAAAAATATTGAATTTCCAAACATGGGGGGCTACCATAAAAACGTTTTTTTTGTCTGGCAGCTTCAAATTTGAATATTTTCAAATAATACTTTGGAACAATGTTCGGAACAACTAAAACAACTTGGAACAACTAAAAAAATATTGAATTTCCAAACATGGGGGGCTACCATAAAAACGTTTTTTTTGTCTGGCAGCTTCAAATTTGAGTTTTTTCAAATAATACTTTGGAACAATGTTAGGAACAACTAGAACAACTTGGAACAACTTTAAAAATAACGAATTTCCAAACATGGGGGGCTATCTCAAAAACGGTTTTTTTTGCCTGACAGCTTCAAATTTGAGTTTTTTCAAATAATACTTTGGAACAATGTAGAACAAACATAGAACAACCCAGAACAACCTAGATAATAATAAAATTCAAAAAGTGGGGGGCTAACTTCACAGAGGTTACTTTGGGGCTAGGCTAATTGGTGTGAGTGTTGGAAATATTTATTTATACATATTTATTTATACGTCAGTAAGCCACCTTGGCGATGGGCATGTTCAACTCTTAGGCGTCTTTTGAAAAACTCAAAAAAACCCTCAAAAATTTTTTTAAACGCGTTTTTCTTGTTTTGTATGCATTTTAGAAACTTTTTTTCCGACCATAATTGTAGAGGGCGTTGAGTACTACAATTTATGTCCTTATTGCAATCTCGTACAACAAAAAATGCGCATTGTAGGTGGCGCTAAAGTCTCAAAAAAAGTATTATTTCACTTTTTCACCCTGAAAATATCATTTTAATGGAAAACTTAAAATGGAAAAGTTGTTCCGTACATGATTACCAACAACTTTTGTAAAAACATTTTTTTTGTATTACTTACCGTTTTCAAGTTATAAATTGCGCAGGTATGAAAAATCCAATAGAGCGGTTTTGGGCAGTTCAAGGACACATTTGCAGTGCACATTTCAATGTACGTTTTACTATTTTTTATTTTTTTTCATGATTGAAAGAAAAAATAATAAAAATTAATAAAAAAAAAATAGTATAAACGTACATTGAAATGTGCACTGCAAATGTGTACTGGACGTCATTTGGCAACAGAAAAAACAAGACACCTTTAGGTTTTTTTTTCACTGAAACGATATTTTTTTCGACAGATTGACTGTACTAAGAATGATTTCAGTAGTATTGTGTCACTATGCGTCGCTTAAACAACAATACCGCGCAAAATAAAATTTGAGAAGTTTTCAGGAGAGACAAAAATGTGTTTATTTTTGAAGTTATACTTCTTTAGCCGCGTTATGAAAAAATTATGAGAGTGAAATTTTCATCACTGTAACACAAAATTTTAACATAATGAAGTTAGCCGCGGGCGCGTTATTTGTAATATTTTATTTTCCAAGTGACCGTGGGGCAGATTTGAACAAAGCAAACAGGGCAGATTTGAACGGGACATTGAAATGAAATGAAATGAAATGAAATGAAGTGAAGTGAAGTGAAGTGAAATGAAGTGAAATGAAATGAAATGAAATGAAATGAAATGAAGTGAAATGAAGTGAAATGAAGTGAAATGAAGTGAAATGAAGTGAAATGAAGTGAAATGAAGTGAAATGAAGTGAAATGAAGTGAAATGAAGTGAAATGAAGTGAAATGAAGTGAAATGAAGTGAAATGAAGTGAAATGAAGTGAAATGAAGTGAAATGAAGTGAAATGAAGTGAAATGAAGTGAAATGAAGTGAAATGAAGTGAAATGAAGTGAAATGAAGTGAAATGAAGTGAAATGAAGTGAAATGAAGTGAAATGAAGTGAAATGAAGTGAAATGAAGTGAAATGAAGTGAAATGAAGTGAAATGAAGTGAAATGAAGTGAAATGAAGTGAAATGAAGTGAAATGAAGTGAAATGAAGTGAAATGAAGTGAAATGAAGTGAAATGAAATGAAATGAAATGAAATGACATTTATTATTAATTTATTGTAATTAATTATTTGCATGCAATTAAAAACTAATTTTAAACGATGCCAAAGAAGGATAACTTCTCACGCGCCTACATAAGTACACGCACCCATTTTTTATTCAATACTTCGTTAATGTTTTATGAATTTAAAAATAGGTATGAGTCGGCTTTCGTTTTGATATTAGGAGATGATAATATTAGTATATTTAGTTCTGTGAAACTAAATATTTGACTTATGCGGTTTAAGTTTTACAAAATAAAGACTTCTGCGTTGTTTATGCTTTTTATTTATCATAATTAAGTAACAAAAATTAATTCTCCAAAGCTTCTTCTTCTTCTTCAAGGTTGCAAGGTTCAAGACGTCAGCGTGGAATATGGCCTTTGTATAAACCGTGACAAAACCAAGCTTATGTTTGTCGATAGAGCTAACAAGTTGGTAAGAACATTTGAGCTGAGTGATTTAGACACAGTTACCAGTTTTGTATACCTGGGATCACTTATACGCAATGACGGGGACTGCGAGGCGGAGGTGGTAAGACGCGGACAGATGGCAAAGGCTGCCGTGAAGCGATTGGAGAAGATCTGGAAGAACAGAGGAATTACTAAATCCACTAAAGTGCGGCTGATGCGAGCCCTGGTCTTCTCGATTTTCTTGTACGCTTCCGAAACCTGGACGTTGAAAGCACGCGTCCGTTCCAGGATTGATGCATTTAAAATGTGGTGTTGGCGCAGAATGCTACACATACCTTGGACCGCACGAAGAACTAATGCATCTATCTTGAAGGAGCTGAGTATCAAGACGCGTCTCTCTTCTGTCTGCATGCAGCGCCTCCTAAAATACTTCGGTCACGTAGCAAGGAGAAGCCCGGATAATTTTGAAAAGCTTTTGGTCGTTGGAAACGTGGAAGGCAAGAGGAGTAGGGGCAGGTCTCCATCCCGGTGGTTGGACATAGTTAAAGAAACTACGAATGGCAAATAGCAGGCGTCCATCCGCCTTGCAGAACACAGAACGGTCTGGTGATCGTTGGTGAAATGTGCTGTCCTGAAAGGTCACGACCCTCAGCCATGAGGAAACGACGATGAAGAAGAAGAAGATATTTATTAAGTCAAGTGCCACTGACGAAGAATACATGCGGTGGTTTTAATTAAAGACATTAAATGTAAGACACGGCTGAAGGCCATAGAAGCCAGTACCGGTAAAACCAATCAACGTTAAAAACATTCTATTGGTATAGTTTAATTAGAACTAGTAATTATTTCACTTTTAATGTAATGTCACTAAAATTACTATTTTTGGTATTTTAACGAGATTCTTCGTCCAAGTGTTGTCATTATACATTACAAGCTGTGCCCCGCGGTGTTACTCGCGGTAAAACGTAGCCTATACGTTAATCCAGAGTGTCAGCTAACTCCATACCTACATACTATATTTTTTATTAAAATCGCTGCAGCCGTTTAGACGTGAAGAAGTAAGAAACATACACAATCACAAACTTTCGCCTTTATAATATTAGTGTGATGATTTTTTTCTAAATCTTAATCTTTTTAGGTTTCTTAGTTAAAATATATTTTGATATTAAAAAGTAACATAAAACTAATAGATATCATTTTTGAACGGAGAGATAATGTCACTATGACAACAAAACGTCAGTCAACCTGACAGCTGACAGTCTGTTTTGTAGTGATGCGCGACTACAAATGATTTTACCTTTCGGCTAATTCGTAACTACTAATTTGGCTATTCGAAAGGCAAATAGGCTAGTTGACCCTTTTTGGAAAAAGGTTTTAAATGGTTAATAAATGTTCTATTAGACCGAAAAAAAATGATTGAGATGAGATGATTTCTAATAGATACTACGAAAAATATAGTAATTATCATTATTGTACTGTACGAGAATGTAAAAACACATCCTTGAAAACTCCAGGAAAGTTGTGGAATAAAGTGCCGAAAGAAATTAAACTATGCAACACCTGGTTAGAACTTGCTAAAAGAGATCCTGCAATGCAACTTTATCGACTCATAGTAAAATTTATTTTTGCGAAGATCACTTTGACGTAAGTACTCATTGAATAATATTTTAAGTCTCTTCATTTATTATCAGTTATAATAATACAAGTTTTAAAGTTTTGTATGAATGACATTTAGTTGTTTACTAAAAGAGACGTCACAATGATGGCGGATGTGGCGAACAGCGTTTTTAGAGTTTAAAAAGTATAGACTAAAAATTATTATTTTAAATTAAATTTCTACAGCAATCTTCTACTTTTATGAAGTGAAATCGATATATTTAGGTTCCTTAGACCAAATACTTTAAGAAATAAACACTTATTTAATACAATTCGACATGAGTCAACTAGCCTATTAGTAGTATTACTAGCAAACCAGTAACCCAAATGTTCACCAAAAAAAAAATGTATTTAATTAATTGAGAACTTCGGAGATTTTGTGTGGTTTTGTTTGAAATAGAAATCACGTGTTTTCTCGAAAACCGGAAGTGCTACGTTACTCAAATCCGGTTTGTAGTCTTATCAGACTATTCTTAACTTATAACTTAAACATTCTCTTTATCTATCTCTTACGGTTTGGCCGCTGAAACAGCACCACGGACGGACGGACTTGTCTATTAGATAAGAGATAATGTCATTATTCGAATAACGACTACTAATTAGTAATACTAATGGATAATGTCTCTGCGTGTGACGCGCGCCGCCATATAAGCTTCTTGGCGCCTCTCGATACCTTGGACTCCAGTCGAATGATATAGAGCGCAGTCGACTTACACGAATGATTAGTATTAGTATTATTCGAAGGCGCGCATCGCTACTGTTTTGTTATGACTTTTGCATTTTCGTGATTGCTTGCTCCTCTTTGTTTTGTTTTAAATTTTATTGTATATTAATAATCCACAATACATACATCGCAATACGAGTAAACTCCAAAAAATGTTTTGAAAGTTTTCTCATAAAAAGTATAAAAAAACCTTAGCAGTAATGAGTCGATGCGACTTCAAAATTGTTTTGCTAGGCAGTGAACATGTTGGAAAGACGAGTTTGGTGATACGTTTTGTGAACAGCTCTTTTAATTCAGCGACGCCGTATCAGAATGTGAGTATTAATGTATAACATAATTAGGAAGCTGAGTAACTACATATTTTCCTTTGCTCTAAGACTACTTATCTTTGAAGACTACCTTATCTTTGTTTTTGTTGTCGTTAAGCTAATTTAACCTTCAACAATCACTATTAAATTGATACGCTGAATCATCGTATTATCTGCAAAACAGTAACAAATATTTATTACACATAAGTGGATTGAATTTTGGAATGGATTGAGTAATATCTTTCGTGAACCCGAGTTAGGGCTAACTAACAAGTGTAATTGAGCCATTACGCTTATGCTGGTACTGTAAATTGTGTAAATTTAGTCAATTTTTTACAAAGCACAGGTAACCAAAGTATAACTATAACATCCATGGTATAAATAGCATTTTGGATCTTAAGGAAGTTATATGCAATTCAAAATAGTTTATTTACTTTCAAGAGGGCTTATAAATTACAACTAAAACTATGACCCAAGTGTGATCATTTATTTAAGGAAAATATTTAAATGATTCCCCATAAAAAGTAATTGATTTAAAAAAATATTTATTGTTTATTTTTTTATTTACATAGAAATATTTAAATTACAAAAGCTTGAAACTACTTAATGTCTAACAACTTGAAATCAGAATTAACTACTTAAATATTATACAATTTCCAAAATAAAAAATATATATCACCGCCTGCGCCACCATCAGGAATGGTGCCCAATAGGTTGGCTGTGGCAATTTTATTTGGTGATACTAATTTTACTATTTTGATCTGATGATTTGTATTTATGCTGTGTTATTTATTATTTTCTTCAATTACTTTAATAAAAATGTAAGGAAGTATTATTCTATAAAAACATTTTATATTTTACAGACGATAGGTGCAGCATTTTGTGCAAAAACAATGCACTCGAACGGTAAAGACTTCAATATTGGTATATGGGACACAGCTGGTAGTGAACGGTGAGAAATGTTATGTTACTAAACTTCTTTGTTAATTGTTGAGAATAATAGAAAAACAACGACCTCTGTAACCAAGTGGTATGAACACCGGGTTTCAGTAGTGCCTACTCAAACTTTGACGACCTCCATGGCCGAGTGGTTTGTACGCCGGGTTTCATGGCTGTCGCCGACTCGAGAGGTCCCGGATTCGAATCCCGGTGGGGGCAGATGTTTGTGTGATGAATACGAGCATTTGTACTCCAGTCATGGATGTTTAATATGTATTTATATAAATATACTTATATATGTATTCTATCCGTTACCCTAGCATCCCATAACACAAGCCTTATAGTGCTTACTTTGGGGCTAGGCTAATTGGTGTGAGTGTCGGAAATATAAAAAAAAAAAAAAACCTCCTGGGTTCGAATCCCCGTGGGGCTAGGGTTACTATTTAGGGATTTCAAAAATCCTGACAAAAATCTACTCTCCACTCTGGACTATAGTCTATAAATCCGGACATGTCTGGACAAATCAAGTTGGATGATAACCCTATGTGGGGCACATGTTAATATGATAGAAGTTATGGATGTTTTTATGTATTATATAGATAAAAAATAAACTTATATGTATTAGTAAGTGTGTTCCATCCATTACCCTAGTATCCCATAATACAAACCACTTTTTCCCAAACAAAAATAATGGTGTGAGTGAAAGAATAAAATAAGCATGTGTGTCTCGGGACGCATGACAGAAGTGATAACTTACACTAATCTAAGCGGAGCTGCGAGTTAGAGTGAGAGCAGAGGAGTCTGCCTACAGCTGCCGTATGCTTCAGAGGAAGGGAAGCCAGACAGACTGGCGCCGTAACGCGTTACGTAACGAAGCAGTTTACCCTCCGTTAGGAAGTTATCACTCTAAAATAAATTGGGTGGTAGGTTTTGCTTCCCTTGTTTTATTGTCCGTCATCCCTTGAAGGTTGGAAAGAGAAGATTATCTGGTTAGTGCGTTCTGTGATTGTCAAAGTAACCCTAACTTTCAAATGGTTGGTCATTGGATGGGTGACCAAAAACTTATTATATCGAGCTCCTCCATGCCTTGGAAGGCACTGGAGACACTTATTCCACCACCGACGATGAACGAGAAGCGAGTCGAGCTATAAACTAGAAACGAGTTGACTATCGGCGGGAAGCGAGTGTGTAGTTCTGATAGGACTATAAGCTTTAACGACCTCCGTGGTCGAGTGGTTTGTATGCCGGATTTCAAAGTGTCGATCTACTCGAGAAGTCCCGGGTTCGAATCCCGGTGGGGGCAGATGTTCGTGTGATGAATACGAGCATTTGTGCTCTGGTCATGGATGTGTAATATGTATGAGTATTTCTATATAAATATACTTATATATGTACTGTACAGTATATGTATTCTATCCGTTACCCTAGTATCCCATAACACAAGCCTTACAGTGCTTACTTTGGTGCTAGGCTATTTGGTGTGAGTGTTGGAAATATTTATTTAATTAAGAGCCCTTTCCCAATTTTTGCAAAAAGTCGTAATTTTTGAGCGCCTCGTTAACACCCTTAGAAAAGATTTTGACTATTTCCAATAGAAGCAAACAGTAGATTTATTCTTCCTTTTGTAAGTTAATGTAGAATATTTGCAAATACTATTTTCTTTTTTTTGTACTGATCGTTCAACGGCAGCTAGTTTACGGAAAAAACGATAATATGCACAACTTCAAACGCCTCAATCTCTCAATAATGTTCAATAAATTAGATGAAATTAATTACTACGACATCAGAAATATGTTTTTGGTGTAACATAATGTATAAGAATTTTGATTTTCCATCTCATTAATTATCAAAAAAAAACTAACCTCTGTGAGTTTTCCTAAAAAATAATGCAGGTTTTCCACGTGTTTTGATATAGAAATACTATCAAAAACCTACTAATCTACCATCATTGAACTACTGAAATATGTATATATTTTTATAATTAGCTCATTAATTATTATTTTATAAGACTCGAAACATCACCCGTAAAATACAATATATACTAGTGCAAATCTACCTACGCGCCGATCATTACGGCAGCGGCGCAATTTTGTAAAAGGGCTCTTAAATAAAAAAAATACAAAACAGTTGCCAGGCAAACGTTTTGTGACAAACGGAGCCGTTACTGGATGTAGCAGCCAGGTTTGCAAGTATCAGCTTCATCGCTATGATGAACCTCTATTGGAAGACAGCAAAGTTATCCTCCAAGAAGCGTTTCACTTATTTCTTTTGAGGTAGGGAACCAACGATATTAAATACCATAGATACACTACGTGCGCTTAATATGTGTCCCTATCAAGAAGTGCTTGAACACGACTCAAGCACTTCTTGATTCACAGTCACGGGCGGACCGTTGAAAAGTCAACATGCCGCTGAGCTCCGTGAAAAAATGCGAAATAAATGTAAAAAGTCTTTTTTTTCGACAGGTATCTAAGCAATGTTTGTTAATTTCACGTATTTGAAGCATAATTCGTTTTAATACTTACTATAAACTGATTTAATAGAAAAGATTTGTGATATAAGGTCGGTAATGTAGCCGTCTCTTTTCCCCGCGGTCCGTATCTGCTATATTGCTAACAGCGCATTCAGAATTGCGCGTAGAGTCAAAGAAATTAGGTCTATATTCTTCCGCATATAGCAATATCTCGTAAAATTTAACGAGCTTGCATTTCGAAATGGCATTACTCTTTGACGCATGCGTTTTAATTAAGACCTTATGCAGTGGGGCTTTAAAGGTGATTTTCAATGTTTTAATAATGCCTTATATTGTTTAGACTAGGCGATCATCTTGCGGAGTACCTTTTGGACAGGTTTTCCGGCATGCTTTTGTTCGTGTTGGTGTATCAAGGGTATTTAATATCGTTGTAGGGAACCTTAAAAATGTTTTTTTCATGTAAATTTTCTTACAGCTACGAAGCTATGACGCGTATGTACTATAGAGGGGCGCACGCAGCCGTCATTTGCTACGAGCCTTCCTGCTCCGAGTCTTGGGCGCGACTGAGGCATTGGCTGCAGGAATTGAGGACTGTGGAGGAGGTATATGACCCGGCAAACTTCTTGAGCATCGACCATAAAATTCAAAAATTCAAAATTCAATATCGTTTATTCAGCCTAGGCTGTTACAAGCACTTGTGAATGTCGAAGAGCTACGCCAGGAGGTATATGACCCGGCAAACTTCTTGAGCATCGACCATAAAATTCAAAAATTCAAAATTCAATATCGTTTATTCAGCCTAGGCTGTTACAAGCACTTGTGAATGTCAAAGAGCTACGCCATCGGTTCGCAAATCTACGACGCGGGAGACCTTGTACTGAGAAGAACCGACAAGAAACTCGGAAAAGGCTATTTTTTTCTCCCTGTATTATATACGATGTCGTCAAATTGAAAAAATACGTTCAATATGAGTGGTAGAAATTTCACATACAAAAACGCTTATTGATCTTATGATCTTAGAATTAAAAAATCCATTGTGAACCTTTACTTCGAATAAAAACTTCAGCCCGTCGACTAATAATTACGGTTAAAGACATTTTTAACAGAGTAATTAGACACATAATAGTTAGATTTTTTAAAATTCCTCAAGAAACTTATTTTTTTCCGGGATCAAAAGTATCTTATGTGTCAATCCCGGTGATAAACTGTATCTGTGACAAAATTCATCCAAATTCGTTCAGCAGTTTTTGCGTGATTGAGTAAAAAAAGAGCATACAAAATTTCTCATTTATAAGTAGGAAGTAGGATACAAACTAACACATTTATCGCGGACCAGGCAGCAGGCGGAATACGAACCCGCACCCTTCGTTATCCGGGCGAATGCACTGACCATTATGATACCGCTGCCCTGACGGCCGTGTCGAATTTTCTCTAGCCTTGAGCTGCAAAGCAGCGCCATCTATCTCTTCGCATTGTAGGTAACCCACAATGCCCCGTCTGCTGCCTGGTCCGCGTGGAATTTTTCCTAGTAAACTTTTCTTTATATTTAAATTTCTAGCAGTTAAATGCTTACAAATTAAAATAAAAGTATATGCTTTTTTGTTTTAGGAATGCAAAGTATACCTTTGTGGTACTAAGAAAGATTTGTTAGACTCTGGTGCAGTGAAGAGAGAGGTGCCCGAAGACTTAGTTGCCACTTATTCCCAGGGGCTTAGAGGTCATTTTCTAACGTCCAGCAAAACGGGCGAGAATGTTGGTAAGTTTATAATTGACTGTTGGGCATTTATACATATAGTGCTTTAAGCATTAAACTGCTTGGTTCATATATCTAAAGAATATTTTACTAGAAAAAAAAAATGATAGATCAATTTATGAGTAACACTATTAATTATCAAGTAACTATAATATCTAATATTATAGATACAGTTAACCTAACGTAATTAACTGAAATGAGATATAAATCATTATTAAAGTATTTAAGAATGCTAACAAACATGTCTTATAGGTATTTAAGACAGATACCATCATTTGATGAATCTAACGAACGAATGAATGGCAAAAATTATCACAATAATGAGTTTAGAACTCTTTAGTTTAATCGACTTACGATAAATATTTTTTTTATTAATAATTGCCGAAATATCGGAAACTCGCTAAAAACAAGGTACATGGTAACAATCCCGTAAGTAACTTATATTACTATAATTCTTTAGCTCCATCTGTATATACACATATTATTATGTATATCTAATTTACTAGCTATAAGAGAAAGAGAGAACGAAAATGTGCGCGCGCACTGCTTTATTTTGCTTATATCCCCCACTCAACTCCCGTTCGCCTCGCCCGAATACACTTTTAGGCCGTGGGGTGCCGGCATTGCACCTCCCCATCTCTTCCCGTGGGTGTCGTAAAAGGCGACTAAGGGATCACCAGGAGAACGGGCAGCAGCGTTCTCCTGAGTAACATTACATCTACTGCGATCGCCAACCCGCCTGTCAAGCGTGGCGATTATGGCAATAACCCCCCAAATGAATAAAGGCATAAACACAACGGCCCCGAGTCACGGCGACCTCGCTATTCCGGCTCACGGTGGCGGGCCTGGTAACGGCGGGGTACGGGGTGCGAAGAATCTCCGGTCGAGATCCGGCCACCAAATAAAACGGACTCTGGCCCTGGTAACACACAACATTCGCACGCTCAGGACTGACGAGAGGATTGCCGAGCTGGAAGAGGAATTGAGCAAGATTCGGTGGGACATTGTAGGGTTGTCAGAAGTCCGAAGACAGGGGGAGGACACGATAACCCTCCGGTCTGGAAACTTGCTCTATCACCGGGAAGGCGACGACTTGTCGCAGGGCGGTGTCGGGTTTATCGTTCGTAAGTCTCTCGCAGCCAACGTGGAGAGGATTGAGTGTGTCGAGTCGGGTAGCGTGCCTGATACTCAGAATAACCAAACGGTATTCGCTGAAGGTCATCCAGGTCTACGCGCCGACCTCGACGCACCCCGACGATGAGGTGGAGGCTCTCTACGAGGATATCTCGAAAGCCATCCGCTTATTCAAAACTCACTTCACTGAGGTTATGGGAGACTTAACGCGAAACTAGGAAAAAGGAAAAGCGGTGAGTTGAGAGTAGGGCAATTCGGATTCGGGCAGAGAAACCAGAGAGGGCAGAAGTTGGCTGATTTTTTGGAGAGAGAAAATCTCTTTAAGATGAATTCCTTCTTCAGAAAGTCGCAACAAAGGAAATGGACCTGGATAAGCCCTAATGGTTCGACACAGAACGAGATAGACTTTATCTTGTCAGACAAACGGCAAATATTCAATGATGTCTCAGTGATCAACAGGGTGAAAACCGGGAGCGATCACCGAATGTTACGAGGCACATTGAATATTCGTGTCTAAGCCGAGCGGTCCCGACTGATGATGAAGTCTACTCTACGTCCCACACCTGCCGAGTACGAAAACCCCGAGAGCTTTCGACTCGAACTCCAAAATCGCTTCCAATGCCTAGACGAGTGCGAAACGGCGAACGATATGAACAACAAGTTTGTGGAAACTGTACACACGGTTGGGTCGAAATTTTTCAGGACCCGCCGTGTTCCTAGAACCGGAAAACTCTCTGACGACACTTTTGAGCTCATGGAGCGGAGGAGGGAAATGACGGTGCAGTCTCCAGCCTCCTGGTCTAAGATGAGGCAGCTAAATAGACAGATCTCGAAGTCTGTGCGACGCGATATTCGACTCTACAATACCAAGCGTATTAAAGAGGCGATAGAGCGGAACCAAGGCTCCAAAGTGTTCGCAAAAGATCTGTCTGTTGGGCAGAGTCAGTTGACCAGACTGAAGAGCGACAACGGCACTGTCATTTCTTCCAAAGATGAGATCTTGCTCTCAAGAGGTCGAGCTGTTCTATGGACAGTTGTATAAAACATCCCAAACTCCTGTTGTCGGCTTGGTCCAAGATCCACGATCCAAGCTAACCCGACACTATACCGAGGACATCCCGGATGTCAGCCTGTACGAGATCAGAATTGCTCTCAAGCAGCTTAAAAACAATAAAGCACTGGGCGATGACGGAATCACTACGGAGCTTCTGAAGGCGGGCGGCAAGCCGGTCCTCGTGGCCCTTCAGAAGCTATTCGACTCTGTCATCCTCGGGGGCATTGTTCCAGAGGCGTGGACCAGGAGCGTGGTGGTATTGTTCTTCAAGAAAGGCGATAAAACCCGCTTGAAGAACTATCGACCTATCTCGCTCTTGAGCCACGTCTATAAGTTGTTTTCGAGAGTCATTACAAATCGACTTTCGCACAGGTTCGACGACTTCCAGCCTCCCGAACAAGCCGATTTCCGAAAGGGCTTTAGTACCATGGACCACATACATACGCTGCGTCAGATCATACAGAAGACCGAGGAGTATAATCGGCTTCTGTGTCTAGCGTATGTGGATTGCAGAAGGGTGTCAGACAGGGCGACGTAATTTCCCCGAAACTGTTCACCGCTGCATTGGAAGATGTCTTCAAGCTTCTGGATTGGACCGAATTCGGCATCAACATCAACGGAGAATACATCACTCACCTTCGATTTGCAGACGATATCGTGGTTATGGCAGAATCCCTGGAGGACCTTGGCACAATGCTCAATGACCTCAGCAGAGTTTCCCAACGGGTTGGTTTAAGGATGAACATGGATAAAACCAAGGTCATGTTCAATGTCCATGTCACTCCAGCACCAGTATCTGTTGGGAATGCGATTCTCGAAGTTGTCGATCATTATGTCTACCTAGAACAAACAGTCCAGTTGGGCAAATCCAACTTCGAGAAAGAGGTCAACCGACGAATCCAACTCGGATGGGCAGCGTTCGGGAATCTTAGGTACATCCTCACGGCCAAAATACCCCAGTGCCTGAAAAGAAGGGTCTATGACCAGTGTGTGTTACCAGTGATGACTTATGGGACTGAGACGTGGTCTCTGAATGTCGGCCTCATAACAAAACTCAAAGTCGCGCAGCGTGCTATGGAGAGGGCAATGCTCGGTGTTTCCCTACGTGATAAGATCCGAAATACGGAGATCCGTAGGAGAAAAAGTTGGGTTTAGAAAGACACTTTTTATTGGCTTCTGAGCAGTAAACATCTCAGATACTTAATCGAATTGCCTTTCATTTGGGCACCCATTTTACAGGATGGAATAGGGAGATTAAGCCACGCGGGCCCAGTGCTGATTGGTAGGTGCTATTGACTGCAGATGGAGCCGGGACCGACGGCTTAACGTGCCTTCCGAAGCACGGAGGAGTGAGAGATAGTACATTTTTGATCACCCATACAATGACCGACCACTACGAAAGTCGCTCAACTTCAATGATTGCACACCGAACGCGTTATTCATTGAGCTACTCGAGTGGCATTTATTGTAGAAAAATTTTCTTTAGCTTTAGAAATGTATGAATGTATGTTTGGATCAAATCTTGCAAATGAATTTTAAAATAATTATATTCAACCGATTGAGATGAAATTTTACAAACACGTTTTGTTTGGATGACAATGCATGGTTAGCTAAGTGACGTCATTTTTTTCTAAATCCAATATGGCGGCGCCTGTGATCGCATTTTTTGTGCACTTCCATGACATGGGTATAAAATATAAAGGTTTTATAAGAAGAATATGAATAAACTAACGTCTGCCTTTAATAAATAAAACTTAAATAAAAACTTCTTTTTAAAAATGCATAAGTAATCTATATAAAGGAATACCGAAAAAAAACAAAGAATAAACTTGGATTAGTTACTCTATGTTTTGTCTCTGTTCATTGAATGACAAATGGCTTATGAGTGATATTCGCTCCCATATAAATCCCACATATATACATACATACATACGAATAACACAAAATCATAGCAAAGAATTGCACTTATTCAACGGGTGGCGCCATCTATTGGATCGAATCTGTAGCGCGCCTAGTACAAGGTTATTGGATGTCGCCCGCAGATGGCAGATGTCGCTCGTGTACTTATATTCAGCTGTTTTACCGGCCATAAAGTTATGACTTGCAAAATAGCATTCTCTTAAACTGTTAATTGTAAATTGTATCCATCGATTACATAAAGGGAAATTACGAAAAAACACCGAGTTTTTATTTGAAGAAGACTCCTATCTATGCCCAAACAAGTGATATGAACAAAACACGATGTAACTAGTCTAAGCTTCATCATCATCATCATCAGCCTATTAATGTCCCCACTGCTGGGGCACAGGCCTTCCCTATAGCTGGAATAGGGAGATTGCGTCATGACCCATCACGCGGGCCCAGTGCGGATTGGTGGGTGCTAACGACTGCAGATGCAGCCGGGACCAACGGCTTAACGTGCCTTCCGACACGGAGGAGCTCGAGATAGTAAACTTTTGGTCACCCATCCAATGACCGACCACCGCGAAAGTTGCTTAACTTCAACGATCGCAGCCGAACGCGCTAACCACTTGCCATCGAGCTTCTCAAATGTCTAAGCTTATTATTCCTCGTTTATTAATAAGGGGGTAGAGGTAGGGCATAGCGGATTATCCCGCTCGGATGAGGGCTACCGTTTTCTGCCTCACCAGATGGCGCCACTGTTGAGTGAGGTCCTAAATTGTAACTTTTAAAGTTTATTAATGCGCACATGAAATCAAAGGTTACATTTAGATCGTATTTTAACACAAAAAAACCATATCCTAAACATAAAGGGCCATGCCACAGTGACGCGCAGTTCCGTTTTATTCGGAAAAAATGGGAACATAACCATTTTTCTAAGCTCAAATTTTTAATAACTGACATTCATTGCCACATAATTCATATTTGCCATAATTAAGCCGAATTGTTACCAATTATTCACAACATTATTTTAATTAGAAATAAACCCGCGTAGTCAACCAACAAGCAATAACATTTGACATTTCGGAGACCTCACGCTACACTAGCGCCTCTAGCGGCGGATTCATAAGCGATAGCCCTCATTGGAGCACCTGTCTGGGGAGGTAACCTCCACCTTACAGAACACAGTAAAATAATACTACCATTTGGTGGTATTGTGTTTGGGCTCCACGGGGTAGGGTATTCGGTGGGGTAAGCGGCGCGAGTGATAATTTTTGTATTGCAAGCGTCTATATGCTATGGTGGCTGCTAACTAGGTGTGTTTTTCGATGATGAGTTAAGCTTCCGTCCTCACTACGATCATGTTATAAAGAAAAGTAACAGTATGCTGGGATTTATCATTAGATCTACTAAGCAATTTAAAAAGCCACAAATAGTGCAGTCGTTGAAGCGAAAAATACGGTCTTACCTCCGAATTTTCGCAAGGGTTGTAAGATTTTCAAGGGGTTGAAAATGATTTTAATATGAGGTAATTATGTTAGAAAATACTTAACAATTTCATCACTTACTATTAGACATGTTTTCTAGCGATAAAATGGCTCAATGTAAATTTTTCCATTAAGGGGTTGTTTACACCCCTTAAAAATAATAGGCGGAGTTCAGATCATTTTCACTTTTGAAGTTAAGGGTAAGATGAGCCTAATTCCAAAATTTCATGCAAATCGGTTCACAGTAAAAAAAATCGGAGCAATAATGCTTCAATGACTGCACTAAAAGCATTATCTGTCTTTTTTTCAGTTTGGCGAGAAGTATCCTTGAATACTATTGCCCTGTATGGTCGCTCTATTATGATGTACATGTTACTAGAATTGAACGTGTTCAGGGGAAACTCCTGAGAATCCTTTCTCGTAAATTTAAATATGGTCGTTCCCTTAATAATTATAAAGACCGATTGTCAAAATTTCGTGTTGTCTCCCTACAAGTTAGGCGTAAAAGATATGTTTTAATTTTCCTTCTTAAGATTCTGCACTCATACATCGATGCGCCAGCTTTGCTCTCGTCACTCTCTGTTAATACGCTGTATAGATCCCGCCTTCCAAATACATTCGCAATTCAAGTTTATAAAAATAACACCTCTTATTATAATCCTATAGTCAGAATGTGTAGAACTTATAACGAATTTGCAAGGAACATCAAAGGTATTGATGTGTGTTCAATTGTTTTGAAAGTATTATATATACATACTAGCGGACCCGACAGACGTTGTCCTGTCTAGTATGGTAGCGCCGTCTGTCGGATCCAATGTAAAACATTTCAAAATCAACAACTACTAATAAATTAAAAATTAATTAAAAAAACATTGTCCAGCGGACAAAATTGTGAATCTAAACCATTCTCAGATCCCCTTGAACACACACAAAAAATTTCATCAAAATCGGTCCAGTCGTTTAAGAGAAGTTCAGTGACATACACACTCACAGAAGAATTATATATATAAAGATTATTTAAAGTGTTTGCCCAATTTATTGTACTTTTTTATTGTATTGACATTATTAACATTTTAATTTTTGTAATTTGAATCTTTGAATAATAATTATTAATATAAATAATAATTAATTTGTATGCCGATATTGGCATATTATGTTATGTACTTAGCTAATTATCACTGACTATCTTTCTTACACATGTTGTTACAAATAAAATTTCTTTCTTTCTTTCTTTCAACTCCCGTTTCTCAGTGTTCAAAAGAAGCATCTATAGTTTGTTCGGCCCTGGTACTCAAGATCCTTAATTTCCATTTTTATTTTATTTTTATTCCCTTTTTTATTAATTGTGTTGAACGATTTAGCCTAGTTTTAAAGTTTTGTTTTGGTTTTTATTTTGCTATAATTATACTTATGCTGTGTACACTGTTTTGCATGGCAGTTTAGATTTTTAACAGATTTATGTTATTTTAACAATGTAATAACTGCACTCTGTTTGTGTACCTATGAAATAAATAAATAAATAACCCATTAGGCGGGCAATATGCTTGTACGCCACACTTTTATCATATTCATTTACAAGAAACATGGTACAATAAAGAGATGTTACAATACATAATTATGATGCTGAGTCATGATTCGCTAAATTAGCATGCAAATATCAAATTATTCTATAATAAATCCAATGCATATTAATATTGTAATTGTTCATATTAATGTCAATCATATTAAAACCTTATTTCCATTTAAACATGTCAATTAAACGTCATATATCATCACATTATACATGTCAGCAAATCTACATTATTATTGATTAAAAATAAGTTATAATTTTTTAACATAAAAAAAGTTTGGCCAATAGTGCTACTGCGGCCCTGATGGCCGTGTCGAATTCTTGCTAGCCTTTGTTAAGCTGCAAGGCAGCGGGTTCAAGTCCCGTCTGCTGCCTGGCCCGCGTGGAATTTTTTCTAGTAATATTTTCTTTAGATTTAAACATCGAGCAGTTGCATGCTTAAAAAATTAAAATTATAACTATAAAAAAGCTTGTTTTATGCGAATCTACAAGGAAACTCTAAAAAGAGCTATTATCTCCCATTGCAGAAGAGCTATTTCAGAAAATCGTTGACGATTGCGCGGCAGACATTAATCTCATGAGGAACGTGGAAGAAATGAGAGTGCAATTATTAAAAGAGGAAGCAGCTTACAAAGCGAAGAACAAGGAGCATTGCAGCTGTTGATGTACATTAAAAAAACTAGATGGCGCTGTTCTTATTTACTGAGTAGTTCTCGCGTTGGCCGATAGGTGGCGTTGTTTTTTTTTATTAATAGAGAGAAAAGTTTTTATAGTCGAATTTCTCCTATGCTAATACAATGCAATGGCTAATGAATGGTGTATCAATGGTTTTCAATATATTCGTATGTAAGCATTAATTTATGAATTATTTAAATAATTACCTTGTCCAAATTATTGTGTTAGCTTCAGGTTCAATTAAACAGATTTTGAAATAAGTATATTTTTAAATATAAAGAGTTTTACTGTAGGTAAAACCATTCACAAGTTATTGCACTGCGCTTGTATAAGCAGAATTGAGGATGTTTGGTAATTGTCTAATTTCAACACCTAACAATAAACCTTTGAATTTACCATTTGTTCGATATCTACAAATTTAACTCAATTGAAAATCTTTTAAGTGACAACCAAACTAAAGGGTGTATTGCTAGGTGTCGAAATTGAACTATAATTCTTCGTCCTAATTGGCAACGATCGTACGATGACACAATAAGATCACACCGTGCGATGACACGATACGATCTCGTGCGATGACACTAACGATCTCATCGTGCGATGACACTAACGATCTCATCGTGCGATGACACGATACGAACTCATCGTGCGATGACACGATACGATCTCATGGTGTGATGACATGATACGATCTCATCGTGCGATGACACGATACGATCTCATGGTGCGATGACACGATGTTATCTCATCTTGTGATGAAAATAATATTATATATATATGTAGATTAAAACACTTATCTTTATGTTTTAAAATCATTGTACGATGAGAATAATTAATCATTGTACGATCGTGTCATCGTATGGTCGTTGCTAATTAGGACGACGCCTTAGGACTGGTCTTAAGAACAAAGGGTTCATACTCTTAGCCTTATAATGTGTAAGCAATATTTAATGCTAGCAAAAAAATTGTATAGTGAGTTTTAGTGAGATGCTAATGATAATCAAACATCGACTTTATCCCATAGTGAAAAGAGTTCTAAATAGCATAGTTTCAAAGACGAGGATTGACTTGTTGGGACATTTTTTGTTGAGTGTTATTTTGAACTCTATTTTGCATGGAAAAAGGTTGATAATTATACTTTTGTACTGCTCTGTGTATATTAGTCTATGTAGGATAGTTTCATGTTTTTTTTTATTTTGCTGGCAACTTTGTCACTCTTGTTTCCGACCGTTGTTGAGTTGAGTGACAATCATTAATAATTATTATGAAATTTTCTGTATTATAATAATATGTGTATACTAAATACCTAACATAACATCTACACAGAAATAGAACAAAAAAAATGTAGAATTTTTCATAATATTTTTTATTATTATTTTATTTAAGCATAAACTGTTACATTTTTATAGGTAGCTAAAGCTTCATTAAATATTTTTTCTTTGTTGACCACAAGGTTTTTGACAAATAGTAAATCTAAATGAAACATTTGACATCATAAATGAAATTATCATTTTTAATTGACATCTCTAAGGCCCGGGTTTTTTAAGCCATAGTCTAATTTAACTATAGTTAAAGTCACGTCTACTCACAAACATTGTCAAATACAGTAAATGTATAAATTTTTGACATTTATGGTTATTTTTTCTCTAGTTTTTTTTAATATATGAAGATCAAAACATTGTACATAAATGTTGATAAAAATTAGGTATGTACTTAAATGAAACTAGTTTTAACGGGTTAATGCACGTACTTTATTTATTTATGGACGTTTCGCAATTTCGTTTTCAATCTTATATATAAAATTCTCGTGTCACAATGTTAGTTACCATACTCCCCCGAAAGGGCTTAACCTTAAGGGCTTAAGGGAAATTTTATATGCATATTCAATAGGTCTGAGAATCGGCTAATATCTATTTTTCATACCCCTAAATGATAAGGGTTGTCCACCCCTAACATATTTTTTATTTTTTGGACAATTATTTTTTTTTTATAATGTGGCATTAAAAATACATCCAATCCTAAATTTTCACCCACACCAGCCCCTATTTTATGGCGGTACGGAGTTCGCTGGGTCAGCTAGTAAATAAATAAAATTTGTGCATTAACCCGTTCAAACTAGTTTTATTTAATGAGTGATGTGCGTGAAAACCTAAGAAACAAATAGGTATTTACTTGTTTTGTAAAAAGCTTTTTTTTTATAGCAGTATTAAATATTACCAAAGTAAGATACCTATATTTATATTTGGCTTAGTTCTTTCTTAAAAGTAAAAAAAAGTCACAGAATACCTAAAGTAGTTATTTTTTCTATTACTGTTATTTCAAAATTATGATTCGAGTCACATTAAGTTGTTCGAGTAATGTCTATTACTAAAAAAGAATGACAGTGATGGCGATTCTAGCATGATTCCCTAAATTTGAAACTAAATCAATCAGTTAACATCAGTCTCTCCCTCTAATTTTGTGTAGAGATTGACAAGGGTACACTGTCGTCAAATTTAAATTTAGGTTTAGAGAATCATGCTAGAATTAACACTTGGAGCTCTATTTTTGAATCATTCGCCTTGCGTCGAACGCAAGATTTCTAGTAATTTTCATTCGACATAATTAATTCCGTATTTTTGAATCGCTCGACTTCAACGAGCGGTCTCGACCACTCGTTGCGCGTTGGCGAAAGATAGAGGCGAATGGTAGAATAATTTTCAAAATGTCAGATATATTTAAAAAAAAATCTCAATCTTTTTAAAATACAGATAAGATGACGATTTGTTGCGACATTTTGATCTTTTTTTTACATAATGGCAAAATATTAAATAACCTGTTAATGAGAATTATACGTTTATTTTTCACAGCGGCAATGACTGCTCGTTATCTTTTTTAACGTCTTTTTTCCGTGTTAATAAAAATGAAAATGTATTAAACTGGTAACTGTAGATGAACGATTCAAAAATACGGAAAATCAGTATCATGCGACTTGAAAGTCGAAGGTGATTTATGTCGCATTCGACGATACTATGTCAGGCGAGTGATTCAAAAATTGAGCTCCAGTAATTAACAAAAGTTTCGTTAGAGAAATAATATCCTGAAAACGTTATTAGTCAGTATTGAGTTTATGAACTTGCTTTATTATTAATGTTTTCTTATTCAGAGATCTGAAAAGAGATTTATCTATATTACCTAACGTTGAATTTGTCCCTATTTTGTCATGTACTGAAGAAATATTGTTTATAAAAAATATATAATAGGCAACAATGGATGCATGGTTTCAACTTTGCCTTTCCTTATAGGCGAAAGAAAAAAATAAATATTACGGCTGAAGCCCTTTGTCCAGACAGCCTCAAATCAATTTTCTACAAACTATCAAATTTTCTCAATACACTATGAGTTTTAAATAAAGCATCGTAAAGTTTAGATTCAGTTGGAGTAATTTGTTAGTCTTGGATAACTTGATTTGTGACTGTCGGTACTTCTGATGCCAAGATGAGTCAAAAATTCAATGCAATTTTGAAAAAAATGCCAACTCATTAAGAGAGGATGCGTTCAAGGTTTTTTGTATACAAACGTCCTCGACTGATTCCTCCTTGATTCTTATCACTAAACAAATAATTTTCATATATCAATACATATAATAGAATAGTAGGAAAGTCAAAACTGTACATTGAATATTTTTTTAAAGAATACTTTGGGTGTACTTTGTGATTTACAGTCGATACCGAAGCCAAAAATGTAGTTTTTAGAATTTTTGTCTGTTTGTCTGTAAATGTGTCCGGGGCAAACTGAAAAAGTACTGCATGGATTTACTTGAAATTTGACACGAATATTATTAAGTAGTCGGGTCAACATGTAGGCTACATATTATCACGTTATCACCTACGGGGACCGAGCAGGGAACCTTTATTTCTAACTAATTCCACGCGCATGAAGTCGCGGGCGGCCGCTAGTATAAAATATAACTTTACACATTTTATGCTCCTATGTCTTCCTTTTTTCGACAACTTGTGTTTCAAAGAAACGAGAAGCCCTCAAAAACGCCGAAAATAAACAAATTTTTATCACCACTAAAGACGTCTAGTGTGGAGATTCAATAAGCATTTACAAAAAAGCAAAACAAAGATGCTTATTATTATTATTCTACTAGCGGCCCGCCCTCGCTTCGCTTCGGTGTAGAGCTGAAATGTAGACTGCAGTTTTTGTTCTCAGGCTTGTATTATACACAATGACATTCATCTATGATTCCTCTTATACCTGCATGAAAAGTCTCAGCCCGATTGGTTTAAAATTGAAAAAGTTTCATTCAAACTTTCATTCCCTATTTTATCCCCTTGGGAGTAGAATTGATCAAAATCCTTTCTTAGCGGATGCCTACGTCATAACATCTACCTGCATGCCAGATTTCAGCCCGATCCGTCCAGTGGTTTGGGCTGTGCGTTGATAGATCACTATGTCAGTCAGTCAGTCACCTTTGAGTATTATATATAAAAGATAGATGGGTAAAATTTCTTTAACATATGTCTAATTTTCGAGAAGGAAATCGTCGAGGGACAAACCTCGAATTTTGCAATTTTCATACCCAATTTTCAGCGTTAACTACTGTTGTCCCTGTCACACGGTATTTGCCAATGCGTGACAGCAATAGTTTTTTCAAATACCTATTTCTCAAATGTCACTCGGCTTGAGTCCGCTCTTTATGTAGTGGCACAATTGACCGACAGAAACCAAAGATCTACATTTTATAGATCAATGAAAATAAGAGTAGATTAATAACCGATCACTAAATATAGTAACACTCAACCGTATAGAGTGATCTTGTATTATAATAATTAGAATTATTCATGAGAAGAAATCGCAGAACACAGAAAGACCATTTGTACGGGAGCCAATGACGTCGGTTCGCCCCCACTACACTTTTACCTAATAGATAATAGCCAATCAAACGACGCGACATCAAACAATCGAACCAATCAGCGCTCACGTACGAATGCAACGACGCAATCAGAACCAAGTTCTGGTCAATTGTTCACACGTAACTGCGGCGCGGCTGCCCCGCCCGCAAAGCCCTTCTAAACCA